TTTGACAGCACAAAGTCCTACCCATTCCCTCTAAAGGACTAAAGCAATAAAATAACCATCAAAACAGAAGAAATCATTTGAATTAATTGACATTTAATGATATTTCTTACTTGTATGAAATGCCTATCCTCTCTTGTATCACCTCAGGCGTGAAGCTTGACTGAGCCTGGAATCCAGAAAGGAAAAATGAATGAGTTGTTTTAACAGTGATCGCAAATTGTAGTGTGGTGCTAAGAGACAACCAGAAATACTCACAGGATCCATTCTTAGCTTCACTGCGCCGGACAGGGCGAGAGATCCCAAGCAAACAGTGAACGCCGGGTGCAGAGGCTCAGTGAACAGTCCAGGAACAACCCCAGTCTCTCTCTCTCTGGGTGATCGGGATACGGCTGCTTCTCTTCAGTGTGGCTCACCGTCCTGTTGCACTCGGACAGGAGGAGGTGTTCATTCACTGTGTCGGGGTCAAGCGTGAGATCACAGGCATCTATGGAAGAAACGGTGAGAGTTGAGTTTCAGTTCGGCCCAGTAGAAATGCAGTGGACAACTTTGAGTAGCTTACACTTGTGCAGAAGCTGTGGGTTTACCCAGTGCTCTTCATCATGGTCCACACTGAGGCAGAGGAACACACAGGGATTCAAAGGGCCATCAGATACTAATACGTTCACACTGACTTGTTCAGAAGGCAGTAGAAGAATTTTGTCTTTCTCTCTAAACATGAGACTCACATTTCATTTCTTATGGCTGAGGAAAGTAAATCAGCATTTCTGTACTATGCAAATGTGTTTGTCCACTCAGTTTTCACACTGTTTGTTGGTAATAAAGTTCAGTTGTTATCTTAGTCCTACACAATTTACTGTAAGTTAATAGGGCATTCTGGTAATTATGGTATTTTAATATTACTGATTATTTACATTATCTATTAATCTGTCGAACATTTTCTCAGTCGACCGATGAGTTCTTCGGTCAACAAAATGTCAGAAAATGGTGACATGTTGATCTCTGTTTCCACAAACTCATAGTGATGTCATGTATATATATATATGTGTATTATTATAATATATTTATTAGGGAACTTATTCACTTATTAGGGAAATTATACTATCCATATTTGAGCATTTTTAACTATCAAAAATACTTAAATTGTTATTTAAATTGTCAGTTTACTCAATTATTGAAACAGGCTCCCTTATGGAAAAAGGATGGGAACCACTGGTCTATTAGACAATCTACTTAATGTCTTTTACTTTACATTTTCTTTACAGAAGTGACCTAAATGTTGGAATATAAGCTTATTGTGTTTTTTATTAACTTTTTTTATAGATGTATAGCACCCCCTTAAATCAAGAAGGGCTTGTGGCCCCCCCATGAAAATTTGGCAGCCCCCAGTGTGGGTCCGGATCCCCAGGTTCAGAATCAGAATCAGAATCAGAATGAGATTTATTGCTAGTTGAGGAATTTGTCTTGGTGCAATGGTGCTTAAAATATACAATAACACAAAACACACACACACAAAAAACACACAAATAAAAAAAACACAAAAATATATAAATCACAGTAACAATATACAAGTCACACAAAAATCACACAACAATAAAGTCCTTTTTAATAATATAAATAAATAAAGATAATAAAGATAAAGGATAAGAAAACTGTACAGAAGACGGGAGTGCATTAATGTAATGTAATGTAATGTATATATATAGGCTGGGTATAAGAGTCAGTGACAGTGGGGGATCCGGGTTGGGAACCACTGCATTAGATCACAGACCCACTACATGAGAGGGATCCCCTCTTGTACCTGTTTTTTTATTTTAAAATGTGAAGATATTAAAATCGCCATAGCCAAGCAACGATGTAACTGGGATCAGTAAGAATTACAATCTATGGTGGCCCAACGTTTTTGCTGTTCGCTGATACATCGCGGCCACCGTAACATTAAAAAAAAAAAAACAAACCCTATTTGTTCCCTTGTTGTTTCAACTTTCAACAACAAAACTATGATTAAAGTTTAAACCTTCTGTTCGTCCCATGGCCTTGCAGTGTCCCCGGACCCCAGTTTGAAACCCACTGACTGACATTACTTTCAACATTAGTTATTATTCAGGCTGGTAGAAAGTAACACGGCTGATAAAAGATGAACTTAAATCCACGTTATGGAGGATTCAGTTACTGTGAATGACTTTCGGTTCTTCAGGTTGTAACTAAACCAAAAGAAAAGGTGCACGGCCCCCTCAGTATTCTTCAGTCGTTTCCCAACTCCTCTCTGTTCAGTTTGGACCCGACTAAAGCTTGAAGTCAGTCTCGGTTCTGTCTTTTTTTTTTAGTTTGGCAGCTTTGCTTGCGATATCCATTCCGGTAAGTTCAAAGTGAAATGACGCATTTTACAGTAAAATACCCGGTGAAGGCGAACGGTCCCGTTTTCTAAATGACACGGACAACGTCAGTGTTAAAGAAGGAAAATAGTTTAGTACCGCTCACTTGAATGAACGGAGGAGTGTTGTTGGAGCCTCTTCTTGTGCCCTCACCACAGACTGACTCGACAGCTAAAGCTAACACGCCAACATTGCTACTTCCTCATCGCGTACCTCCTGCACTCAGACAGTGGAGACGTCTGCCTTCTTTAAAGCTCTCACCCAATCCTAGTGGTATCTTATAAATAAAGAAATACAGCAAATAAAGACAGAAAATGTGAAAATAAATGCGAAATAACAGCAGTAGTCAGTGTATCACCGACTTTAGACTAGTCACAAAAACTCTGTAAATGTGTCTTTTATCACGTTAATTTAACAACTTGATTTTATCTGCCTACATTATTCTGTATCCTGACACACTGGAACTATCACCACCACTTAATTAAAGGCATGGTTGCAAAATAAACGTTATTAAAGTATTTCTGATTCTGATTCTGATCATTTATTGATTTAGATAAACCTAAAGTTTAAGTTGCAGACATTATTTATTATTTTTTATTATGAGTTGTGTTGATGTAAATATTGTGGAAGAGCCTAAACAATTTTTATTGTGTACTGAAATTACCCCATTATTATAATTCTGGTGAAATACCAGACATTATATCCAAAATACCCTTTTTATTTTGAATCATGGTTTTGGCCTAAACATTTTTGACTGTCCAAAATATCAGAATCAGACTTAAAACACTCACCCTGTGTAAACTGTGTGTAATTAGACTAGAGAGTGTGAACACACAATGAGACATGACTGTGGTATTTCTTCTCTGTTAATACCACAGTCTTTGACCCTCCACAGTAAGGTTAGGGTTAGGGTTGCCTGTACTGGGAGAAATAGCCATTATTTAATGCTCTACAGTATACCAACTTGAGTTTTTCCATTCTACATTCTGGGTCGTGCAGTCTCTCAGAGCAGCCTCACTGCTGCCTCCCCTGGATGATTGTAGCTGAGGTCCAGCTCTCTCAGATGGGACGGGTTAGACCTCAGAGCCGAGGCCAGGGAGGCACAGCCGTCCTCTGTGATCCCACAACGTGACAGCCTGTAGAGAAAAGGGCTCTTACTAAAACGAAAGCCCACACAACACGCCAGTATGGCTAGCTGTCACTATACTATATCATCACCATGCATCAGTACCTCAGTATCTCCAGCCTACATTTTGAACTTCCTAGTCCCACAGAGAGCAATTGCACTCCTAAATCCCTCAGGTCGTTCCGACTGAGGTCGAGCTGTCTCAGCTGGGAGTGTGAGCAGAGAAGTGAGGCAAACACCTGACAGCATTTACTTTTCAGGTGACAACCAGGCATGCTGCAATCAGGTCAAAAATACATAATGATTCATTAGTAGGTTAACAAGAAAACAATATAAGAAAATGATCTGATCGCTAAATACTTTTACCTGACCTCTTCCAGTTTACAGACTGGGCCGATCAAGGCAGCAGGAATAACAGTCAGCAGGCTCAACTCATCGTTGACATCCCCATATTTTTCCTTTTTCTCCACATCCTTAGAGAAATAGCCACTGTAGTCCTTTGGGTAGTTGTATATGTAGTCTGTCAAGTCCAGTGCTCTCAGGGATGATTGCTTGAACTGAAGGATGGAGGCCAGTGTGTGACAGTACCTAAACTCTAGAGCAAACCCAGACAATCTGCACAAAACATCACATATCATTTATTAATAAGGTGCAGAGAAAGTCTATCAGAGGTTCAGATGTGGTGGGATGATTTACATTTACTTTAATACAGTCGTTAAACAGACTGTAGTTGATGGTTAATGTAGTTGAGTATGTGTCATATGTTAACAGTTATACTACAAAGTAAGTTACTGTAAAATTAAAAGTCTGGTAAAAAGGTTTTAATGTCAAACTGACCTCAGTGTCTCCAGTTTACAGTCAGGACTTCCCAGTGCAACAAAGAGAGTCGGAAAGAGGAACGTTGGCATTAGAGAAATACACCAGGCACAGTTCTCGCAAGCATGAGTCGGTCGACTGCAGAGCGTAAACTAGTAGAGCAAGGTGATTACTCAAATGCTCACTCTTAGGTCTGTAGAATCAGAAGAAAAGCAACTAACCAGGGTGTCATGGCCACAAGACATGTACCTTAGAAAAAAACTTAACTTTGAAGTGAAATCACAAAAGTGATTTGATATTTTATGAAAATCTTGAAGACAACAGCTTAAAGGTCCAGTGTGTAACATTTAGGATGATCTATTGATCAGATGATCAGAAATGGAATATAATATTCATAGGTATGTTTTTATTACTGTATAATCACTGAAAATAATAATCATTGTGTTTTTGTAATCTTAGAATGTTTTTATCTACAGAGGGAGCAGGTCCTCTTCTACTGAGTCTGCCACATTGAACCACCATGTTCCTACAGTAGCTCAGAATGGAAAAAACAAACATTGGTTATTGCAGCCACCTTAGTTTCTCCTACACACTTGGAAGGCTGAGCTGTATTCAGGTGGTTACAATCTGTAAAAACAGACCTCTAATTTAGGTACTTTATTTTATAAAACTTTGTTCCAAATAATCACAATAATTGGAGTAAGTTATACGTGTCTTGAATTAACTGTGTTCACTTATTCTTCAGTTAAGCTAGCACTAGCATGATACTGGCAACCTAACATGTTAACACCAACAACAATAAGTCGTTAACTAGCTCTGTAGTGTTGGTACTAACTAGTAGGCTACCCATTATTTTGTGAGGAAGTGCCACTTGGTACTTGCCACTCTAGTACTGTCAACAGAGTCCAGCTGCAGCTGCAAAGCTCGAGAAAAAACGCTAAAGCCCATTACATATAAATCAAATATTCAATTTGAGCTACATTCTGTAAATAAGGCCCCTGAATCTTACACACCAAACCTTTGAATCAGAATTCATATTGTACTTACACAACTTTCTTGCAGTTCTTCATTAGCAGGAGAAGTTTCTCAACTCCCACTAACGGTGTAAAGGATTTTGTCAGATCAAGTTCATCCACCAGTTTCCCAGATATCTGCAGCAGGGTGGACAGTACCGAGCAGTCAATGGGTGAGAGTCTTACTCCTGAATCTAGATACATTCTGACGTCATCCTGAAATCTCTCTTCATTCAGCTCAAATTTGCAGAGGAAAAGATTCATGCACCGCTCTGATAAGATATTTCCTACATGAAAATTTCTAAGATACCTCTTCATCTCTTCAGCAGTGTCTGAGCTGGTCTTTGTCTTCGGCAGTAGACCTTTTAGCATCATCTGATTGGACTCCAGTGAGAATCCAAGGAAGAAGCCGAGAAACAGGTCCAGTTGGCCTTTCTCACTCTGCAAAGCTTTGTCCACAACTTTCCTCTGCACCTCATGCAAGCTCAGATCTGTGGGGTCAACATTGAGGAAGGAGTTCATTGTGGATGTTCTTAGTCACACAGCAATGGAACATGTAAAGAGCAGCAAGAAACTCCTGGAAGCCTAAATGCACAAAGCTGAAATTTTTTTTCTGGTACAGGCCATGTTCTTGTTTCAGGATTTCAAAAAATCCACAAAACAATGAAGCTTTGTCGACATCAATGCCACATTCTCTGTGATCCTCTTCATAGAACATGATGTTTCCTTTCTGCAGCTGTTCAAACGCCAACTTGGACAGATTTAAAAGCATGGCTGCATTATTTGTGCTTTTCTTCCCATATTTATGTGTTGTTCTTCTTGTTTGAATGAGTAAATAGTGAATGTACAACTCATCATTGATCCTTCGATTTGTCTGGACACTCCATCCTTCCTTAAATACCTCAGCTATGATCCAACAAAAGATTGGGATGAAATAGAAGCTTATCATCCCTCTGAGACAGGATAGGACTTATTTGGCCTGACTAGCACTGCTGAATCTCTTCATGAAGTATTCTTCCTTCTGTTGGTCATCGGACCCTTGCACTTCTGTTACCCTGTCAACACATTTAGGAGGGATCTGATTGGCTGCTGCAGGTCTGGAAGTTATCCAGACGAGAGCGTTAGGCAGCAGGTTTGTCAGCAACACGTTCACTGTTGATCGCTGGGCTATTTCACTCACTTTCCTGCCCCCTTCAAAGTCCAGAGGAAAACTACTTTCATCCAAACCGTCAAAGATGAACAGCACTTGCTTGTTAACAAGTTGCTGTGTATCTTCTAGCAGGTTCAGTTCGGGGTAGAAGTGAAGAAGAAGTTGCAGCAGACTGTACTTGCCCTCTTTGAGCATGTTCAGCTCTCTAAAAGGAAACACGAAGATGAAATCAATGTGCTGATTGGATTTTCCCTCTGCCCAGTTAAGGGAGAAGTTTTGGACAGTGACTGTCTTTCCAATGCCAGCGATCCCTTTTGTCATCACTCTTTAGATGGACCTGTCTTGTTGTTGAGGAATGTCTCTTCCTGGTTTGAAGATATACATGCACTCGATCTGTTCATAGTGTTGTGATGTGGACGATTTCTCATCTGGGAGTTTAAACTGATGCAGAATCTCATGATGTGTGGAACCGCATTCCTCGATCTGTTTAGTGATGTAGAGTCTTGTATAGACATTCTCAAGTCGAGACTGGTTGGTTGACTTACCCTCATATATGCATGCAAACTTTTCCCTCAGATGGGCTTTAAGGTTCTTTTTAACCCTCTCTATGGTTTGATTCCTTTCCATGTCTGCAGGTCCATCACCACATCCAGGATAAATCTCTGCCCCTATCCGCCCTCCTCTCTCTTTCACTGCTGTCCTTCTGATGTGGGTCTTGCATGTCAACATGTAAATATCGAAACCTGAAAGTGACCTGTATGGTAAAACATGTGCTCTTCACTTTAAGGGAGTAGCTAATGCAAGCTTTATAGTGAGACTATGTTACATTACTGATCAGCAGTGGCCCTAAGTCACATATAAAGGTTAGTGGCACAATGAAGGCCTGTCTGACTGTCATCAATCAGGAGGGCTTAACAAAGCCAGTAAAATGCCACGTTGGGCTAGTAAATCTAGCAATTTACTAATATGATCAGGGACATGGTAATAAAAATGATCCTGGAAATAGGGCTCAATCCCAATGTAACCCCTAATGCTTCAGGGATAATAAAAATATCCTTGATCCTTGAATTGTGGGCCTGATATACGCCTAATAATATAATATGGTAATTAATGTAGAAAGGAATCCCTCCTGTTGCTCTTCCCGAGGTTTCTTCCCTTGTTTTCCTGATAAAGGGTTGTTTGGGGAGATTTTCCATATATGAGTAAAGGGTCTAAGGACAGAGGGTGCTGTATGATGTGCAGGCAGTAAAGCCCCCTGACGCAAATTTGTGTT